CTCCCCCCCCTCCCGGGTAGAAGTTCGAAGTTCCAATTACAGGGCAAACCAGATGCACTTGTGCATCACCATTTAAGGCAGTGAGGTTATATAGGTGTTAGAGGGTATAATTTGGCCAGCACTTCTTACTAATGGTTCAGGAGAATGAAAGATCCAATGCTGAATTTGCAGGGCTGACAGTTAATGTTTTGTATTGATTAAAAAAAAATTAGGAGACATATGTAGTCATCTTTCAGAGTAGAACCTCTTTTAAATATGAAGACCTAAAAATGGACAAATATTTTAAAGGGTTACTTTTAACTGTGCACATTTGTAGACAATTTTTAGTAGTTTTATTTTAAGAAGTAGTGCAACAATGTGCTCAGTAGTATTTACCTCTTGCCTGTGATGAAGAGCTGAGTGGTATCTGTGTGAACAGTGACCTGCTAGTCAGTATTGTGCATAATTTGAGAATATGTATGCAAAATCAGGTTTAAATTCCTACACTGCTAGAAGTTGGAAGTCCTGCCATATGTCATTCAATAAGTAATTTTCCCCAGATTTGTAAGGTTTCCAATTTTTTCCCAATGACCACATTTTCATGTTAGCTGAGATAGTCTTAACACATGCATTCCTCACGTATTTGCCCATGCTAGGTTACTTGTAAAATACATATCTTAAAAATGTGGAGAAGGTCTGTGTAATGTGAAATGTCTTTGTGGAAGTCAAAACTTTGCTTGGTGGATGTTATTCAGGAAGGTGAAATGCCAATTAATGAACTACTTAGCCTTTATGGCTATGATGGTACAGTCCCACTCCCAGAAGACGAAGATGACGACGATGAGGAGGAAGAGGAGGAAGAGGAAGGAGAAGATGATGAAGATGTTGATAATGATGACAACAGTGGCTGTAGTGGAGAAAACAAAGTAAGTGACTGTATTAATTGGAAAAAATTTCCCATTCAGTTGTCTAGTACTATGTCCTGAAATTCTGAACTAGTTTGCATGCTCCTTCTAGTTTAGTCACTAATAGTTCATAAAAGCCCTACATGGACATACAAGATGCCAAACCACAGCAGAACATAAAAACAGCCATCCTGGGTCAGACCAGTGGTCCATCTACCACATTATCCTGTCTTCTGACAGTGACCAATGCCAGGTGCTTCAGAAGGAATGAACGGAACAGGCAGTCATCCACTCCCAGCTTCCGGCAGTCAGAGGCTAGGGACACCCAGAGCATGGAGTTGCATCCCTGACCATCTTAGCTAATAGCCATTGATGGACCTATCCTCCATGAACTTATCTAGTTCTTTTCTGAACTCCATTATAGTTTTGACCTTCACAACATCCCTTGACAATGAGTTTCACAGGTTGACTGTGCATTGTGTGAAGTACTTCCTTTTGTGTGTGTTAAGCCTACTGCCTATTAATTTCATTGGGTGATCTCCAGTTCTTGTGTTATGTGAATGAGTAAATAACATTTTCTCCACACTAGTCACAATTTTATAGACCTTTATTATATCTCCTCTAGTCATCTCAATTCCAAGTTGAAAAGTCCCAGTCTTTTTTATCTTTTCTCCTACTGAAGCTGTTCCATGCCCTTAATCATTTTTGTTACCCTTCTCTGTACCTATTTCAATTCTAATGTATTTTTTTTGAGATGGGGTGACCAGAACTGCATATAGTATTCAGATTATGGGCATAGCATAAATTTATATAGTGGCATTTTGATATTTTCTGTTTTATCTGCTCCTTTCCTCATGGTTCCTAATGTTCTGTTAGCTTTTTTGACAGCCGCTGCACATTGAGCAGATGTTTTCAGAGAGCTATCCACAATGAGTCCAAGGTTGTTGAGTGCTGACAGCTAATTTTTAGACCTTGTGATATTGTATATATAGTTCAGATTGTTTTCCAGTTTGCATTATTTTGCATTTATCAACATTTTGAATTTCTGACATTTTGTTGCCTAGTCAACCAGTTTTGTGAGATCCCTTTGTAACTCTTCGCAGTCTGTTTTCAACTTAACTATCTTGAGTAATTTTGTCTTGTCTGCAAATTTTGCCACCTCACTGTTTTACCCCTTTTTCTGGATCATTCATGAATATGTGGAAAATCATTGGTCCCAGGACAGATCCCACTATTTACCTCTCTCCATTCTGACAATTGACCATTTATTCCTACCCTTTTTTTTTTTTGTTATCTTCTAACCAGTTAGTGATCCATGAGAGGACCTTCCCACTTATTCTAAGCACTTAGTTTGCTTAAGAGCATTTGGTGAGGGACCATGTCAAAGGCTTTCTGAAGGTCCAAGTACATTATATCACCCTTATCCATATGTCTGTTGACCAATTCTGGTAGATTGGTGAGGCATGATTTCCCTTTACGAAAGCCATGTTGACTCTTCTCCAACAAATCATGTTCATCTAGGTGTCTGGTAATTCTGTTTTTTACTGTAGTTTTAACCAATTTGCCTGGTATTGAAGTTCGGCTTACCAGCCTGAAATTGCCAGGATTGCCTCAAGAGCCTTTTTTTTAAAAACAGGTGTTGCATTAACTATTCTCCAGTCATCTGGTACAGAAGCTGAAACAGAAATAGTTTGCACTATGTTGGGAGGCAAATCTATTATGAATACTTGCATGAATACTGCACTCTTAAACACTGCAGAATTGATTCCAAAAGGTCTCCAAATAGAAGTGTGGAAGAAGCAACAAATAGTGCAGCCAATGGATCTTTGCGTAAGACGTCCACCTGGCCCAAACCTGAGTTAATTCAGTCCTCTGATAAAATCAGGTGTTACTCCCCTCATCCCTCTTGCTTTATATCCAGTTGTAGTTGGTTAAGGATCAACTGATAATGAGCTTTGGCCCTTTTACACATGTTGAACCATAACTGTTGTCTGCCAAGTTTCTTGCCGCTTCATCTAATACCTAGTCACTGTCAGATCCAGAATAAACTTGTCTAGATGGACCAGCAGTCTGACCCAGTCCAGCAATTTCTATTCTCCTATGAAAGGCACTTTTACTTGAACTTTGCTCACTTGTTCAGGAGTGAGCTCTAAACATCTTCTCAATCCCATAAATCCTTGGTGTATTTCATCTTTATAGCATTCTGGATGCTATAGAGACAAATTATAAATTGCATATACTGTAGCATTATATACAACAGGATCATAGTCTGCTTTAAAGCATAGTGTCTGACTCTTCTGAAAACAATGTATTTTATATACTTGAGCCTATCATTATGGATGTGATAATTCAGTAGTTATTTTATTGATGAGGTGTGGTACTGAAATAAAAAGTCTGCCTGAATTTCAGAAATTCAGGCAATTTTAAATCACTTTTGACTGACTTATTAAAGACTGACGATGATTGTTCCTGTATAATAAATAGTTAAAAATAAATGATCAAATATTTTGTGAGAATATATCATTATAATCATGGCCTCTTTAAAATGCAGTCCTGTGAACTCTTAAGATAAACAAGCATCTTTTTAGAAGGCAGTTTTCTGCTTGCAGTTCTCCAGACCCTGCCTTTACCTATAGTTCTAATTATTCTGTTTTTGATTTCTGTACAGTCATGACATAATTATAACTTGGCCATTGTTGGTGGCCTTTTAAAGCATATAATCTTACAATATTACAGTTGTAATATAAAATCCTTTGTACGGTTAATACCAAAAGGATCAAGGGAGTTTAGGAAACTTAGTATGGATTGAAAAAAGAAAATATTGTCCTTAATATAAATGTACTGTTTATTATAGCACTCACAACTGAGGCTCCATCTCACCCATTTTATAGATATGGAAACTAAAGCATAGACAAGTTAAGTGACCTGCACAAGGTTGTGTGATAGGTGTAAGGGTAATGAGATATAAATTATGGCCAGGATCACCTGTGTCTTTGAGGTTATTTAGCATTGTTGCTGTTTTGAGAAAGAAACCAATTTGGTATGATTTATGGATTCTATTAAGATCATGTGAAAGCAAATATAATTTAAATCAAGATATCACTGTCTAAATTAATATAATTTTCCGAAACAAACAGGATGGAACAATACAATGATTAAATCTAAGGCTACAGTTGAGGTTGAATTGATTAATCAAGATATTAATCACATGAAATGGGATCTACAGTTGATCAGATGATCAAATCAACACAGTCAATCATATCAGGAGGTCAATGAAATACATGATGAATCTTTGGTCTACTTTTGATTGCTTTGGTCTAATTTCAGCTCTTAGGTTTAGTATGTGGATGAGGTGTTGGTGTCCTGTGATAAACAGGTCAAACTAGTTGATCTGGTGATCCCTTCTGGCCATAAACTCTGACTCTAACCTTACACATAGTAACCCTGTACAGTCAAGGAGGCATAGTTTTTCTCAGCTTTTGAACTATTATTACACTCCTTCAAAGCACCATTAATTGAATGATGTACTCTATTTGCTCCCCTTCTGGCTAACTTACCTACTTTAATACAGTGGTGATCAGCAACTCATGATTCCCCTAGCGGGTAGAGTAATTTAATGCTGATACCTTTAAGAATGAAGGGTTACACTCTGTGATCTGTCACCTGCTTAGAATTTGAGTTGGTATCTAATTGTGTTCTTTTTAATATAGATTTACATAGTGCTACTACTTAAACATCTACATGTTCACATATATTCACACGTTAGAAAGGTTAGCCCCCTTACCACAGCAAGAAATTAGTTACTACACAAACCACCAGTTCTCTAATTAAAAGGTTGCCTTTACTTTCGTCCAGACCTAAGGACATAAGCTAAGGATACAGCTGTTTTTTGAGCTCCTGTAATGTAAATCCTATTTAAGATAAAGGAAATTAAAGTTTATACATGCTAGGCCACATTACAGTAGACCCACTTGCTTTACTTGGGTGTTTGACTGAGCAAAGAATAGAGCTCTTTAACACACACTCTTACATGTTTGGTCTCTGTTCAACATATGAGTGAAATCCTAGCAGCAATTTTTAGTTAAAAGATTAAAATATGTTGTAAAATTCTAACTATACTTCTAAAAATAGGGCTATAGCAAAAATGGCTGAAACATGGCATTTGCTTACTACTTAAGGAGCATTAGTGCCTTACGTCAACCTCAGTTTTTTGTTAAAATCTATCAAAGTTCTGACCATTTGAAAATTGCATGCTGAATAGAGCCCCAACTCCACAAGCTCATGTGTGTGGCTGGACTTTCTTTACCCTTGTCAATATTCCATTGACACTTCCATGCCTTGTATCAATGGGGCTCTTGCCCACACGTATCAGTTTACAGGCTTGGAGGCTTTGGATGGAATGCACTGAGTACATGAGCAGCTCTTTAACGCATGAAAGTTTGTTCTTGTGATTTAAAAGCTCCCCGGTAAAAATTGCCAAGTCTGTGCAAGTTGAATAACTGAGAGAAGAAATTTTTAAGGTATGGATATTGTACTTAAGGAAACAAACAAAGCCGTAGAAAACAAATTTGAGGGCGGAGGGGGTGTACTTAATGCAACATAGAAGGTGGAAATTTAAAAGGAATGACATTAATTAAAAAATGAGAGGTTCCTATGGAACCATTGATTTGGCTGTATTGCATTTGGACCGTTTTTGATTTCCTGTTTACTTATGAAACTTGCAGCTTATATTCTGCTTTGTCATTAAAAGCATACAGGATGTCCACAATGTGTCTGAGATGTTGCAACAAATAAGTTTGAGCAAGTTGCATTAGTGATCTTCACCAAATGCATAAATCAATCCACTAACTCATTTTTTTTAACCCTTCTCATGTAACTTTCTTTAATTCTAATATCTTCCACTATGGTGGTTTCATTTCTGTACAGCATCTGTTCTTTTAATATTTGATCTTTCTACCATTTTTACTTAACTCAGTGATGTTAGAATTGGAGTATGCTGATATATTCTTCTTGTGGGGTGAAATCTAATTATTGAAGGTTTTTATGATAACCTCACACCTTGAAGAGTAACTTTTTTTTTGGCTACATCTCCACTACAAGGTAGGGGTGTGATCCCAGCTCACATATACATACTTAGCGCAAGTATAAATAGCAGCATATTTGCAGTGGCATGGGCAACAGCACACCTTAGCTGTGCCAAGTACGTGCCCACATGGGGTTCAAGCAGGTTTATACTTGGCATGGCTGATCCATGCTGCCGCTGTCTGTGCTGCTGTGGCTATGCTACTATTTTTTACTCATGCCAGCTCTCTGTATGTGTATGCGAGCTGGGAATCTCATCCCTAGCTTGTAATGTAGATGTAGCCTTCCATGTGACTAGAAATGATTATCCAGCGTTTCCTAATCCTGATATTAAAAGAACATCCAAAATTCTGGGGGAATGGTTTTAAAGATAGGGGTATACTTTAAGAGCAAGAGAGCTGTAAAGAACTCTATGCCTTTATAATTTCCAATTTTTTTAGCTTATAGTGTATAACTTACTCCATCAAACACAAAAAAACCTCACTACTTAATAGTAAAGGGAATTTGTACCATTCAGTGTTTGTAGGTTCACTGACACACTGAGTGCCCAGCATGAGAATTTTTGTGAAAAGCTAGTGCTTCACACGAATAAGGTTGTGAGATTGACTTATCCCTTGGTTCTGAGATCCACAAGCTGCATATCCTTACAAACAGTTTAACAAAAAATTAGGACTGTACACCCGGAATTGCTCCTAGCAAAACATAGAATCACTCAGTAATGGCAATCCAACATCCCTGCTCAAAGCCTGTTTAGGTATACGATAATTCACGTAAGTGTGACAGTACTTATTGTTGCTCATGGTATAAAACTTTAACCCTAAATTTCCATGCTGGAAAAACTAGATACAGTGGTTAATTCTGGTTAGCTCATTTAAGACTTAATGATAAACCTGACCTGCTTAAAATATTTTTTCAAAATCTATATCAATGCTGTGTAATGCATCTAAACAATCTTTGTGGCTGTCCACAGCCTGTACCTGTCATTCGTAACACTACAACGTATACTTTATTATGTGTAGAACATCCTCTTTTGTTTGACATTTCTGGAAATATAAATAAAATGTTATCAAAAAAGAGAGTGATGATTATCTCTAATGCAGAAGGTGTAAATGGTCTCCTGTTTGCTTTATTGTATTTAAGGAGGAGACCATAAAGGATTCATCAGGTCAGGAGGATGAGACACAATCCTCCAATGATGACCCAGCACCATCTGTTGCTTCTCAAGATCCGCAGGAGATAATTCACCCACGTCGATGTAAATATTTTGATGCAAGTATGTGCTGTTTAGTACTATGCACCACCATCTAAATTGTCATAACTTTATTAAGATCTAGAATTAATGAAATATTGAGTTACTAAAAAAATCTGTCTTACAGCTTGTTTGTCAGATCTTTTTCTTCTCCCACTGCTGTTCTTTATTATCAATTCACTTAAACATAGTTTTTTGTTGTCCACGCTCCTTAGCATATGATAAAGCCTCTCTTTTTTACAAGTCATGGACTTTGTATATTTGTTTTATTAAAGGAAAAGTGTAGGATTAAATCTGGTGCACAATTTAAAAAGAAAAGCAAAACCTAAGGCCAATGGAAATGCTTTCAATAACTTCTTAACATTTCAGTGGAAATGTAGTCCCCAGTCCTGCAAACAGGTCCACCTGGGCATGCCTCTACACCTCTGCAAAGCTCCCTTGCCATCCCCTTGGGGCCCCAGTGACGTCTTCCCATGTGGACCAGCTTGTAGGATCAGTACAAATATTCCCTGCAGTGTTTGTAACCTTGTATTGCTCAACTGTAGCATTTCCCCAGCTGTGGTCTGTGGAGCACTGCTGATGGTCCAAGAAGAGTTGGTTGGCTGCAGGGTGCTGGCTCACTACCTTATTCACCCTAAAAAGACCATAAAATATTTTGTTTTCTTATATAAATATTCCAAGTAAGCAATTGCTGTAATTGCTACGTGGAGACTAAATTATAAATGGGAGAGGTGCTGGTCCACAAGACCATATCTGTTAAGTTGTGGTCTACTCCATGAAGAACTTTTTGAGAACCCTTGTCTTAATGAGTGAGAACTAGAAAATAAAATTGACAAGAAACAAAAGCAAAACTGCTTATTTTTTGGTCTAATCTCAGTAATGGAAAAATGAATAAAAATAATCAAACTAAAATAGATTTAAAAAAATTATTTCAGGTTTTAATAAGCTGCGGTGGGGATAGCAATACAGAGAAGGACATTTGCTTTTAAAATATTTATCTTGACGACGTCATTTTCAGTGCTACCATTTCCCTGCTCCATACTTCCACTCTTCGTTCATGTCTGTTTCTTAGATGTGCTTAAAATTCACGCTTGCAGCCACTTAGAACTGCTGATCTAGTGTTATGTAACCCTCCCCTTACCCTCACTGCTGTTGTAATACCACTTATCTGGGTCTCAAACCTGCATTCTCCTAATGAATAGCATCTGGTATTACCAGCCAAGTCATTTGGACAACCAAATATTTCACTGTGGGAGGTAGCCGTTTATACCAGAGGAAGGTAAAAGGCATCATTCCCAGTACAACTCTACCCCGATAGAACGCAACCCGATATAACACAAATTCGGATATAACACTGTAAAGCAGCGGGACCCCCGGGCCCTTTAAAGCGCCACCCGAGCCCCGCTGCTTTACCGTGTTCTATCCAAATTCGTGTGGAGCCCCAGGCCCTTTAAATCATCGCCCGAACCCGGCTGCCGGAGCCCCGGGGCTGCCGGAGCCCCGGGGCTG